GACTTTGTTCTGAAAATGGCTGGCAGTCAATGAGTTCAGAGAAACTACCTGATGGAGATTTTATGCCGGTATCAAAAAGGACCGAAAAGGACTGAATGGCTGAATTTGAAAGTGAAGAAGAATTTAAACTGAATAAAAAAAGAATTGGAGAAAAAAAAGACTATTCAAGAACAACATGGCTGCTCCAAATTCCGAATTCCTAAACTCAAAGTGGTTCTATATTTTTTTGTTACATATTTGGACTTGACGTTCATTAAGTTTTGAACAGGATAATAATAAATGTATGCTTTTTGGCAAAGGATAAGAAGAACGAAAGCTTATTTAAGCCCCAACTGCTATCAAGTTAAAGTTTGGGATGTCTCAGTTCTTTTTTTAAAATCTCAATTCTTTTGCAGCTGTCGTCATTTAAGCTCCATCGTATCAAAGAATGCTGAAAAAGTTTTGGCGACAGATTGCATTTGGTTCTGTGAACTGACCGGCAGGTTCTCTTTCTGCTGCAGGGCCGCCTTCTTCTTCCAGAGCCGCTGCCGGAGCTCCACGAGCCGGCGGTCCATGGCGGCCACTTCCTGGTTCCGCTTGCTCAGGCTGTCCCTGTGCTGCTGGAGCCTGACACTCTGATCCTGGTTCAGTTTGTTCCTCAGCTGAGGAGGAGTGAGGCGCAAGGTCAGGTCCCCCCGGTCACCGACTCAGATCCAGGTTCATTTACAAAACTCAGAGTTGTTGTAGTTTGGTGGGAGAACAGGAATTATTTAGCTTATCATCTGACCCAACGTTCCCATCGATCTGACCTTCTTGAGTGTAGAAAAATAATAAGGAATCGTGGCTGCAGGTCAAAGGCGTCACGTGTTCTCGTTATAAATAATGAGCAAGTCCCACCGTTTTCTAGCACAGACCACACGCATCGTTTCTCAATCACCTGCAGCTCTCGGTAGAGGCGCTCCAGCTCAGCCGTGGACGGCATGGTGTGATGGTGAGGAAGAGGAGCCTCTAGCCGGTTGCTCCTCAGAGCGTCCAGCTGCTCGCTCAGCTCCTCCACCCTCGCCGCGGCCACCAACAGCTCCCGCTGCTTCTGGTGGAACAGGCCGGTCATCTGCTCGATCTCCTCCACTGGCGAAAGTAAGCAAAGAGGGGTTTCAGTGCAACATCGGTATCAATCAGTCAATCA